CAGCAGACTCGAGCCCATTTCACCATCTCGGCACCAAATTGCAAACTAAAACTTGCGCACAACAAGTAAGATTTTGCCCGAGCTGTCCCAACCGTTACCTTTGCAANGGTTCATTCATCGCTGATGATGATGTTGTTGTTGTTTCCGTTGTTTGTTTGTTATTGTTGTTCAACGCTGCCGGCCTTTTCGCCTTTTCTCTGGAGAGAGAGGGAGTCCCACCAACCAGCGTGTGTTGCACACACCACACAGCGAGAGCGGGACGGGAGCAGGGTGTGCCCTATACTACTGCTGCTGCTAGCTTTCGGCGGAGGAAGCGAGAGGAGAGATATTGATTGGGTCTCTGTGGGTCCATCGGTTGGTTGTTGTTATTGTGTTGCGACGCGGCGGGAGGGAGCGGCCTCTGACTCTGCTCTGGAGAGAGGCACACATACATCACAGCACGGGACCAGTAACACATCACGCTCGTTCCTAGACGATGTAGTACCACTGCTGTGCTGTGCACCTCTCTACACTCATTGTGGGCGAGAGTGTGTGTCGCCTCTGCTGCTGCTGTTGTTGCTGTTGTCTAAAGCGGTGGCGGAAGCGTCCTGTTCAAACAATCAGCAGCAGCAGCAGCACAAGCCGCGGAATTTTTCAACGTATTTTTTTTTTTCTCTAGCTGATGACGATGGATGACACTCCGCCGCCGGCCTTTTTTATGCCTTTTTTTCTCTGGAGAGAGAGGGAGTCCCACCAACCAGCGTGTGTTGCACACACCACACAGCGAGAGCGGGACGGGAGCAGGGTGTGCCCTATACTACTGCTGCTGCTAGCTTTCGGCGGAGGAAGCGAGAGGAGAGATATTGATTGGGTCTCTGTGGGTCCATCGGTTGGTTGTTGTTATTGTGTTGCGACGCGGCGGGAGGGAGCGGCCTCTGACTCTGCTCTGGAGAGAGGCACACATACATCACAGCACGGGACCAGTAACACATCACGCTCGTTCCTAGACGATGTAGTACCACTGCTGTGCTGTGCACCTCTCTACACTCATTGTGGGCGAGAGGGTGTGTCGCCTCTGCTGCTGCTGCTGTTGCTGTTATCTAAAGCGGTGGCGGAAGCGTCCTGTTCAAACAATCAGCAGCAGCAGCAGCACAAGCCGGGGAATTTTCCAACGTTTTTTTTCCTCTCTAGGTGGTGACGATGGATAGCACCCCCTCCCCCCTCTGATGATAGCACTCCCTCCTCACGGCTGACGATGGATTCCACCCCCCTCGCTAGCTGATGATGGACACCACCCCCCCCTCTAGCGAATGATGATGGACACCACCCCCTCCTCTAGCGAATGATGATGGACACCACAAATGGTTTTTAATGTGATGACAACAACAACAACAACAACAACCCGCTCTCTAGCTGGTGATGATGGACCGCCCTCCGTTCTTCTGTATGTAACAGACGCACGAGCCTACTGCAGGTACTTTTGTGCAACCACCACAAAAAANTGTAACAGACGCACGAGCCTACTGCATACTGCAGGTACTTTTGTGCAACCACCACAAAAAACTATTCCACCTCCAACTCTAGTAGCTGATGATTTATGATCATGAATCGAAGATATGACTCTTCACAAAACATCCAAAAGGAGGGTGAGTTGTAGAAATATCCCGAATCGATCCCCCACACCATCATTGAGATGAAGAATGCGAACGGTCACGAGACGCAACATCGACATCTATCTCAATGACGACGCTTGAAGGGATAAAGCTACGAAGAAAATATATTGCGGCAGAGCACGCTATTATCTTGAACAGACGACGACAGGAAAAAATTCAATATCCAGACGCCACACACCACTCTTTTCTGCGCACCCGCGCGAATCACCGCTGGAGGAATGAGGGTGACTACCCGAGCGAGTCCAAAACACGGTGACGAAACTCAAAACCCAAATAAATTTCCGAACGAATACGGCCTGTGATACTGGACGCGACGAAAAGGGGAAACTCAACGCAATCATGGACGTTAACGAAGGGCAGGAGAAAAGAACGACAGGCAAAGGCACGGAGAACGATGGCCAGCGTGCCAGCGTACCCAACTCGTATAAGGAGACGGCAGGGGCAAGACCTATTGAGGACCAAGGATGCAAAGCACAAGCGATTATTGCAAGAGAGGCGGTCGACGAACTGCGCCATGGCTCGCTGGCGATACGCATCATTCAAAGACATACACAGAAAGTCGTAGAGATTCACACAACAAGACGACGACTCAGGGGCGCTACTGTGATGAAGGCGTCGCCCGAAGGTGGCGATGATGGAGACGAAGCAGAACGAAGTGTGGGTGACGACGAAAATCCATGGGAGAAGGCGTCGCCACGGGATGGAATCCCGAAGCACTAATCGTATGCGACACTTCTGCGGCACGATGGAACTGAAACAAAAAAAAATAAAGACAACATTAGTTGGCAAACATTCGAACCAGGAAAACGCGGAGAACTCGGTGTCTGAGTGTCCCGAGGCAAACATCACCGACGAAACTTGGGGAACTCTTTTCCCAAGTTTCAGAGGCAGACAGCACCGACGAAACTTCGGAGGGAGCTTGTTGAGAGAACCAAAGACCAACAACACCAACAAAAAATTGAAGCAAAGGCGAGAGAGAACGGACATCCAGGTCGCGGCAGTTCACTGATTCAGATGAATGCAGGCAACAAGGAAGAAGGATCACTCGACACTGCGTGTCTCGAGGCGGCGTTGCCCCAGCGTTCAAAACAAACACGCCAAGGAAAGAAAAGAGACAACACAGAAAAACAAAGCAAAATATGACAAAATGGAAGGTGGCAGGAAAAAAACAAAAAACAAAAGCAAAACGTCGGCGAGAAGGATGGCAAAAAATACCAAAATAGGCCGATTGGTATATCAAAACGACGACGCTAAGAAGAAACGGCGGGAACAGCCGACGGTAAGGAGTCAGCAAGGAGCGGAGTGCGACCACGGTTGTCGCCCAGAGGGCGCGAACGATGTTTCTCTAAACACCATGATCCACAGACGGCGTCCAAGGCAGTGGAGTGGAGATGCGCAGGCAGAGGCAGAACGCTTGGGCCCGGGTCATCCAAAAATCGAACGATGTACGAGCCGCCCTGACGAGCACCAATGCGTCCGGTCCACC